TGTCGGTTAGATTTTCAATAGTAAACACTAAAAATTAAAGTTAGTGGCAGATTTATAAAAAACAAAACAAAAAAAAACAGACAGCCAAGGCTGAAATCAGCAAAACAAATTTTGAGCTCAAAAAAAGAAACATGTCAAGGACATTTCATCTTCATTCTCATTTTACCACAAAAAAATGACTCCTTACTATAATGTGAAAAATAATGATATATACTGTACATTTATACATCATAGTAGCAATGGTTGTACTGTCTTTGGTTTTAAAATGTCATCACTAAACAATTTTATGTCACAATGCAAAATCTTGTCACTTCTATAAAACAGGTTTCATTTTCTTTTGTGTCAAAATATACATTCTTATTTTCTCCTTTCAATTCTGGGGTAAAATATGATGTTTTCATATACAGTAACCTGTTCATGCTGCCTTGCAAGCACTGTCAGCATATTAACCAAGTTGTAGGCAAACACGCAAAAACACAGAAAGTGACGGTGCAAAAAGAGAAGCAAAAAACTCAAAAGACTGTTGAATGAAAGCACAATGGTGAAGCGTCATAATAACTCAACATGCTGCAGAACAAACCGCCATCAGCTACTTTACAAAACTTGAAATAAATGTCTGTATAATCTATAACATCACTAAAGACACTATGAGTGGAATATATACAAGCTATTATTATCCAAGGATGCAATATGCCTTAAGAACAAAAGTTACAAAAGTTCACCGTGAACACATTTAAGCTTGTATGTATTTGTATACTGTTCGTGTTTTGTATATGTGTCACACACTTACTCGTTGTCATCAACCCACGTTCTTGGAGTAGAAGACGATGTACCGCAACCAAGGGAATAGACATATGAATGCTTTAAACAAGATATCTATTTTACAATATCTATCAATATGATAAAATAGTAGATTTGTGCTAACAATGAACAAAAAATGTGAAGTTTTACTGTAATGGTGCAATATGCATTAGATACCAGTAGAGAAATATATATTTCCATATCAATGTTCAGGTTACAAGGTTGTTGTCTTCACAATAACACAACAGATACACGCTACTGTATGCTTTAAGAATATGCTCACCCCCCCTTTTAAAACAAAGCTAATGTTATAGCTAGGGATGTAACGATTCACTCAACTCACGATTCGATTCACGATTTTGATTTCACGATTCGATTCACGATTTTGATTTCACAATTCGATTCACGATTTTGATTTCA